GCTAAGAAGTGTAAGAGAGAAGGGAGCTGAGGCAGCTGGGGAAAAGGACATCGTCTCCTGGCACAGAGCAGGCTGGGGCGCAGCCTTGCAGAGCGGGACTGAAAGACTTAGAGGAGAGAGAAGCCTCTGTGCCTGGAAGATGCAACACTCAGCAAGACCAACTGGGAAGAGAGTAGTTAAGGGGGAATATTTCAGACACAGCGCAGCAGCAGCCACTCTCTGGGCTTTAGGCAAACAGGCAATTCAGTGCACAGAAATCCTGAGAAACAAGTTTGCTTTTTGTGCAAAGCACATTTCAGCTCTCTCACCCCAATGCTTCCCACCCTTGACAGGATCTTTCAAGTATGATGGGGGGTAAGGTTTAGGCGGCACCTACAGAAAATTGCTAAAGGATCAGGCAATCACCTAGTCACTGACTTGGGCAGGAGAGATACTGGGGAGAATCCCTTGAGATGGTCTTTAGTCTGGTCCTGTGAAGTCCCTGCTCATTTTATGCTGAGTGGACAACATGCAACCAGGCTGACAAAACACAGCCTGTTGAGGAAAGAGCTTCCTACACTACCGTCCAGCTCCAGCCCAGGTCCAGGCCAGGGTGTGGGGCACTGCCCAGTAAAATGAGGCTCAAAGGTCATGAGAAGGGTAGGGGAAGTCTAAGCTCCTGTGGAAGGAAAGAGAGGGGCACAGAGGTCCCCAGACTTCCTAAGACAGTTCTAGAACTGACCAGTCTCTGAGAAAAACTTAAAACCAGCCTGGTTAAAGTTGGTTTCTGATAGAGCTGTTCAGACTAGTTTGAGGACATGGGTCTCATAGCATGAGACCCATTCAGTGATGGTTTGAGTCTCAGCAAACCTTTGTGGTCTGTGTAGAAGCAAATCAGAAGGCACGGTGACCCAGACACCTACTGAGAGTCCAGAACCTGCTCCAGCAGTCCTTTACTTTCTACTAAAAAAGATTCAAGCACTGGGGGCAGAGACACTGCTCCTGGCTGTGTCGCCTTGTGTCTCTGGGGAAGCCCCACCTCACCACCTCCATCCCTGCATTAGAACAAAGCTCACGTGCAGGGAGCAAGCTGCTGCTGAAAGTTTTTCCACCACCACCGCCGCCACCACCACCCCTCTGAAAAAGCACAGGCTTGTTTGCATGGGAGGGGAGAAGGTTGCGAATGACAAAGGCCCTCTGCAGGGATCTGGCACTGGGCTTGGTTCTTGACTTGGCTCCTGACCAGCTACGATCCAGGGAAAGAGCTTAACTTCTCTCTGATTAATGAACTTCCTGTAACACTGGGAAACACAGCCCATTTCATAGGCTGAGAGGGCAGCATCCACTAGAGGTGCTTGTGAAAGTGCTTTCCATTCCTCACGGAGGAGACTGCAAGAGAGGGGGGCTGAGGCCTCCGTGTGGTCAGCTTCATTGTATGCACTGCATGGTCAGTTTGGCATGGCCCTCTCCCCGCTCTGAAAAACTTCAAGAAGCAGAAGCTGACCAGACCCTAAGATAAGACCCTGAACCTTCAGAAGTCACCATCCTGGATGCCAGAGAAGGGAAAGAATGCTTTTGTTTAGCAAGGCCCACAAAGGTAGATGACTCCGAGAGAACTGAGAAAGTGAGGAAACTGCTCTCCATGGAGGGAACTCCTGGGCGTCAGGGATCACTGGATAACTCTGTTCAAGACCACACAGAAAGACCTCCTATTCACCACGATTCATAGAAAACTTGTAGATGGGTTTCTGGATGTCCGTCTCAAGTCCTGGGAGCTGGAAGGAAAAGGGAAAGATGGAAGCGGAGGGAGCAGAGCCTGTTGCCTAATCAAGTCCCACTCGCATTCGAAAGGCCCAGTCTGACCCATCCTGAGTCACAGGGTAAAGCTATATAGAGCTGAGTCTGAAGGACAAGCCCAGGGCTTATAAGTGCACTTGACCTTGGGCTCAGGGCTTCCAAAACAGGAGGAAAGATAATCTGAGGTCCTAAACCCTCCACTGAAATCCTTTCAATCCCTAGGGACAAGAAACAATACCAAGATGACAGGCCAAGTACTCAGCGCTGGAAGTCAGGACAGTGCTTAGATCGCAGTACACATATGTCTGTGTGATGACAGTCACCACTGGACACCTCAGACAAGGACAATATGAGTGCCCAGGACAAAAAGACCAAAAACCATCATAAGAAAACAGCATCCAAATGAAAGGCCTTTTGGGGTTGGGGGAGGGAGGGGTCATGAATAAAACAGAACAGTTCCTCAGGAGTGAGACTACACTGGCACAGATCCACCTGCTTACTTTGGCCATTGTGTACACTCTTTGGCCCACCGGGACACCACCTGGTAGGCAGATCATAAACCTGTACATGGGGTGGGCTAGACGTGAAGACAGCTTTCTGCATGCACCGTACAAGAAACCTCACACAGATGGCTGGGTGTGGTCTGCACAGCCAGGTTCTCGGAGGCCAAATCCTTACCTCCTTTGTCTATTCACAAGAGGAAAGAAAAAGACTGCTTTCTTTTTGTTGATCTTAACAGCAAAGGCAGTGAACGCACTGCCTTAGCAAAGTCAAAATGGCAGGCACTGTCCAGGTTAATGGTTGAAAGGAGGCAGGCAGAGAACTGAAAACAAGCAGATCGTTCCTGTGTCACTCTGAAAAGAATTATATGATTTGTTTTACAGAACTAGTAGCAGCTTTTGTTTCCTGGTTGAGGCCATTATTGAAGTCAGTTTTTATTTCGCAAGCCCACACTGGGCACAGTCACCCTGTAATTAATAATGGACAGTCTGCAAGATGGGTCCTCTGCCATGTAGGACATCACAAGTGAACACACCAGGGAAGGTGATCATGACAAACCATGTGGGATCAGGCCTCTCTGGGCCTGATTGTCTGCATGACAGTCAGATGGGAAACCGAGGCTGCATTCTCACTTTAGGACATCTGGAGCCCGCCTCCTTCTGGGTCTTCTGAAAAGTGAGGCATCATTTTTAATTTAAAATCACAGAGCACATCTAGCCAAGTAGTTCTCAAATCTTTCGTTAAAAGTTGCAGAGCCCGTCATCCAAATGGATACATAATGAAGAAAAATAAATAAGAAACCAATAAAAATGTTTGCCCTATAGAGTATGGGGGCATAGGGTAGAGGGGGCAGAAGGGAAAGTAAACATTTTTATAATTTGACTTTTGAAGCACGTCGGTGTATTATCTCTTCAAAAAAAGAAAGAATGTTTGAAGTTGGAAGCCTACAATGAACAGTGCTGACAATGGGGCTGCTCTGGCAGAAGGTGGAGGGAGGGGTGGTGGGCAGAGCCCCAGCTACCCTGCTCCTTCCTCACCCAAGGCATCTTGGAGTGTCTTCCATGTGCTCTCTGCTTTGGGACACCACTGGCCTGGCCCAATCTTTTTATTTTCTAGCTGGGAAACGAAAGCCCAGGGAGCCGGGCTCTCTCTCTCTCTCTGGGTCTCTTGATCCAATAGGACATATTCAAGAAAGGCTAAAGGTCGTGCCCAGAAGAAATAATACATCCAATCCTTTTAAAAGATTTATTTTTAATTAAAAAATAAAAGTTATCTTCACATATCTGTATTTCAGCTTCAAGGATGACAACTTAATGAAGCAAGAAAAACAAGGCTTATCAGTTCTTGAGTCACCTGATCATTGTATAATGGGTACAAAGGCACACGTGTCTTCAAACCAACAAACTTTATTCAGAAACAATTCTAATAACTCCAGAACTCCCTTCCCCCAAGTCTTTTTTGCCCACCCTCACCCCCTCCCGCCAAACAACAACCAAAACATTAAATTCTCTTTTAAAACTACAGAAATAAGTGCTGAGTCAGCAAGGAACCTGGGCGAGCTGCCCAAGTCCTCCGTGTCTCTCTACTTTGATGACTGGCTGCCCAGAGGCTGGCAGGGAGAGAGCCAGAGTCATCCGCCACTGGACATCAGGTGGGGCTTGTGCCCAGCCCCACAGCCATCACCCCAGCTGGGGCAGGCAGTCCCAAGGCACTATCTCTCTTCAGCAAGGGCATCCTGTGGCTAAAGCATCCTTTCAGAAAGAGAAAGGCCTAAGGCAAGCAAAGCTTCCTCAAATGCTTGCGACGAAACCACCACTGGACCACTTCTCCCCCAGTTTCCCAGGCTTTGGGAAGTTTCACTTTCCCTATTCTCCCTGCCTTCTCTCTTTCCCTTCTTCCCAGTCTCCCTCTCCCCTCAAAGAGTTTTATTTTAGCTTGATGGTGGGGGTTCCAAAGAGGCTACTGGCAACTCCTGGGGCTGGCCGGGGGGCTCTGCCACCTCTAAGGGGACATCGCATGCTTTAGGTTTCTGTGTGTCACAGAGCTCCTCCGGTCCTTGGGAGGGCGCGAGGTGTTCCTGGCTCTGGGCCTGGTTGTTCATCTTCTCTTCAGCTTCTATCTCTTCTGAGGTGGGGATGGAGTTCTTCTTGGGACGGCCTTTGGGTTTTGTGGGCGCTTCCTGCCCACCTTTAAGTACCTACGTGGGAGAGAAATGGTCATTAAGTCTGAGAAATAACTCCTTCCCTCCACTTTACCACTCAACAGCATCTATACAGTTTCTTCCCAGGGTGACCAAGTTCAGCAAAAAGTATTTTCAGCCCATCAGCTCGTCTACAAAGACGTCTTCACCCTTTAAATGCACTGTTAATCAATATCACACATTTTAGCATTACAAAAAAAGGATCACATATACATAAAAAATCCAGCTTCAATAATAAGGAAATAAAAATGAAAATATTAATGTGGTATCAATGAAGTGGACAAATTAAAAAAAGACAATATTTGTAGCAAGCAGGAAAATAAACTCTTTCCATAGAGTTGAAGAAAGATATAAAGCAAGCAAAATAAGAGTACCCCAAATGGCCTTTGCTGATTTCAAAGGACTTGCACATTTATTATCCCGATGTGACTTACACAAGAATCCCATGATGTAGGCAGGAATAATTTTAGAAACATTTTTATGTTACTTAGGAATATAACACACTCCTTCCTCCACTGACTCTGAACCCTGGCGTGGTGTAATTGCTGACTTTCTGGGCAGCAAGTGAGAAGGACTTCAGCAGGACTTGGGGTTTAGCACAGATAATTAGGTGTGGGGTATATTTTTGCTACTTACATACCTAGCTTCCTCTTATCGTCCCCATTTGAACAGAAGCTCCTTGAAGGTACATCCTGCTTCTATCCCTTGCTTTGCACTCCAGGCATCTAACTTCCAACTAACTTTCTATGCAGTCACTAAATATTTATCGACTACATCTCCTTCCTGTAAGAGCAGCAGAGGACTTCTAGGTGCTGAATTATAAGAATAAACGTAGTAACTTGATAAATCATAATTCTTTTTTAAAAATGGCTTTATTGAAATACAATTCACATACCATCCATTTATAGTATACGATTTCGTGATTTTTTTTTTAGTAATCACAGAATCGTGCAACTACCACCAGAATCCAATTTAGAACATTTCACCACCCCGAAAAAGAAACCCCTGCCCATGAGCAGCCATTCCCCATTCCTTGTTCCCCAAGCATAGGCGACCATTCATCTGTTTTATGTCTCCACAGATGCTGGACATTCCATATGAAAGGAATCATATACTGTGTCATCCTTTGTGACTGGCTCCTTTAGCTTAGCATGTTTTCAAGGTTCGTCCATGTTATAGCATGTATCAGTATTTCATTCCTTTTTATGGCCAAATAATATCCATTGTATGGGTATACCCCATTCTCTTTACCTATTCACCAGTTGATAGGCACTTTTGGCTATTGTGAATAATACTGCTGTTAACATGGTTGTGCAGGGCTGGCCGAGTGGCTCAGTTGGTTAAGAGCTCACTCAAGAGTTTGAGGTCTGAGCAACAGAGGTTCAATTCCCAGCCCGAGCTGAGCAGCCACTGAGTTACCAACAGGTGGCAGGATGGCTCAGCTAAAAAAACAACAACAACAAAAACATGGGTGTGCAAATCTGTTCAAGTCCCTGCTTTCACTTCTTTGGGGTATATGCCCAGAAGTAGAATTGCTGGTTCATGTGGTAACTGTTTAACATTTTGAGGAACTTCCACACTATTTTCCAAAGGAGTTGCACCATGTTATAGTCCAATTAGCAGGGTATGAGGACTCTAGTTCTCCACATCCTCGCCAATACTTGTTACTAAGCCTTTTTGATTATAGTCATCCTAGTGAGTGTGAGTGGCATCATTGTTTTTGATTTGCATTTCCTTGATGACTAATGAAGTTAAGCATCTTTTCATGTACCAGTAGTATATCTTCTTTGGGGATATGTCTATTCAAATCCTTCATCCATTTTTTAATTTGGTTGTATTTTTATTATTGAGTTATAAGAGTTTATATATTTTGGATACAAGTCTCTTATCAGACACAAGATTTGAAATATGTTCTCCCATTCTGTGTGTTATCTTTTGACTTTCTTGGTGATGTCCCTTATAGCACAAAAGTTTTTAATTTTGTTGATGTCCAATTTATTTTTTTATTTTGTTATTTGTGCTATTGGTGTTATATCTAAGAAGATTTTGCCTAATCCACGGTCATGAATATTTACTCATATTTTCTTCTAAGAATTTTATAGCTTTAGCTTATACATTTAGATCTATGATTCATTTTGAGTTAATTTCTGTGTATGGTATGAGGAAAACTATAAGTCTTCAAGAAGCACCTCCTTTTAGTTGGGAATCTTCTGAAGCACTGTACTTTCCTCCGAAACACACAGATCTGACGGGGACCTCTAACAAGGTATAGATGCTGATAATTCACCTTTCAGGAGAAGACATCCCTGTATTTCCTTTCACATAAGTCACTATCTGATTTTTATTTCAGTTCAGAATGTTGACAGCATCCGAATGTGCTAAGGTGGAACTTACATGTTGAAAGCAGCTCCACTCAGTATGAAAGAGGTTATAGAAAATTAAGTTGCCCCATGTATTAATCAAGTTATAAAAGGGCAGGTCTAAGGAAGCCACCTAATTGGCAAAAGAAAGTCCAGCCCAGCAATTAGAGCACACCACCCACACAGCTTGGATCGATCCCACCTGGCTGTTTTCCTACAGCACACACAAAAAATTCAAAACAATCAAACCATTTTCTAAATGGAATAAAACATTCCAGTGCAAGCAATAATTAGGAGATAACTACCCTCTTGGCTGCTTTCCACACTCGACCTCTGGCCCCTTGCCTTCCAGCACACCTGAGACATGCAATTATCTCACCATCGCCTCTCACCGGGAGCTGCACATTCTCATGCACCCTGTGGCTCTTTTCCCAGGACTCCATACTCCCTAACTGTTCCTAGGACCAATTTAGTCTCCTTGGTCCTGAGAGGCCAGGCAACCCATTGCATACAAGATCATGTCTCTCAGAAAAACATCTAGCACATCATCTACTTTTATTAGCCATGCCTGCTGACAGCCCTCCTCTGAACTCTAAAACCAGGTATCCCAGTGTCCTATTGCTAAGGATGTCAGGACAAGGCCTTTGCTTCCTTCTCAAGGTGCTTAGGTGGGGGACAGGCAGTTTGACCAGAAAGCCCAGAATGTCAGTGCAGTGAGGGGCCTTCTACCTCCCCCGCTATTCAGACAGGAACCTGAACTGAGCAGGCAGAAGTGGTTCGTCACAGGCAGAGAGCAAGCCGAAGGCAGAAGACTTGAACATAAAACCCCTGACCATTCGAATCTAACACACTTACCAGTATTTCATTGTGTATGATGTGTGAGGGATACATAAAGTGTGCCACTGTTATGTCTGACTCCACTATTTATCTGCAATTATCCAATCTCCCAGCAGACCCTAGGCCATGGACTTATTACCTGGAGTGCTTTATGCTCCTTTTTCTCGATCTTTATCTGCAGCTCTATGGAAAAGTGGGAGCCATATAACTGATGACTGTTTCCATGGAGCTGAGATGCAAGTTCGGGTTCTCTAGCATGAATCTGTTTGCAGCACACTGTTTAGCAGACTTTCTCCACTTGAAGATGGAATGTTCCAATATACCACAAGCCCAGATGCTAAGGCGCTGACGGGAGAAGGCAGGGAGAGTGAGAAAGGACAAACACTCAGGGCTGCTCTTAACCAGAGTCCCAGGGACCTGCCTTATCTCTCCTGGCCTCCAAAAGTCTGGATTCTCTGGAGATGTAAATTCTGTGGATAAGTAAATAATTTTTAAAATAATAATAAGAATAGCAGCTAATATTTCTTGGCTAAGTTTTACAGGGATTAGCTCAGTTAATACCACAACTTTATAAGGTATATATTAGGTATTTACTCATGAGGAAACAGGCACACAGAGGTTAAGTAAACTGCCCAAGACGACACAGATAGCAACTGGTAGCAGTTTCACAGAACTGTTGATTATCTGGAGACTTTCAGTGTGAAAGATGATGATGGAACATGGTATGTGGCCCACCCAACTCCGTGACTGGGAGAAGAAGGTTGTATCCACCTAGATCCCCTCACTAAACAGAATTCTGTTTGCATTGTATTTCAGAACTTAAAAAAAAAAACACTGAATAATGAGGCCTGTTGCAAAACACTGTTGAGTCCTACTGGAACTAAAGCCAAACAGAAATGAAATAGAGGGTGAGTGTCCCAGCTCATGTGCAAGATTAAATTTACCCAACCCGCTATAGGTTACAAATGCTGCCCGGTAAAAACGAGTCAGAGATGCTATCTTGGTTTTGGCAGTACTGTCCTTGGCAGCCGCGTGAATAACTCTGAGAATCAAGTGCTAATCTTTTTCCAGTTCCAATTAGGTTACTAGCCTTGAGACATCTTTATTACCCAATTATCTTTTTCTTTTCCTCCCTAGTACTTGAAGAGATAGCCTTGAAAGCGTTTTACCAGGAAAATACATGAAGCAATCAGGATCCCAACAATGCCTTGCTGTTCTGGGAGAGTCAGAACTCAGACCTACAACTGAACAGCAGCCCTCACGTTTTAGCTCCAGCCATTCTGAAGTACTTGAGTGCCCCCCAAATACTCCTGTCCCTTCCTTCTGCCTGTATCATTCTTCCCACCTTTACTTGGCACATTTTTATTCATCCACTAAAACCAATTTAGATGGTACCTCTTCTGTGAAGCCTTCCCTTCTCTACACTGATTCTGCACCCTGTAAATCCTTCTGCGATTGCCCTGATCACTCTGTAAACAAGTAATACAGCTCTGTCTCCCTGACTTGACTGATACCTTTTTCCAATGACTGCGAAAGTTATCGGAAAACTAGGTACTCTTGTGTTCTCAAGTAACCTGAATTTGGTTGGCCTGTGAAATGCTCTCTGAGGTTAAATCTTCCTTCCATTTTGTTCTATACAACATTGATAACCGTCAACAAGTGGCCCACGATTGTGTCAGCAACACAGTGGCTGGTGAAAAACAAGTGAAGTCAGAGGCCCAGGCACACGCGTCGTCCCATGGGCACTGGGCGGTGCTGGCAGAGATGGCAGGCTGTCAGTTCATTAATCATCTGACTCACGAAAAGATTGCTGATAAGCAATTTAAACAATGCCTCTGCCACACTGGAGACATTGATTTCAATGACGATGATTGACAAGGAAGAAGGTGGGTGGTAGAACTTGCACAGAAAGCAGTGAAGGGACTTACCCAAAATCAGCCAGGGAGGGGCAAGCATGAGAACAAGGCCCAGTTTCTAACTCCCAAGTCTGATTCCTTTAGCGATCAATCCCCCAAAAGGTTTCCACCATAACTCTTAGGGGTGTCTTAGGATTCTAGAAGTTTTGGAGTGACGATATATTTAATTGAATCCCATTCATCCTTCAATTTCAACTTCTCCCTGCAACCGTACCCAATACCTCTCTTCTGAACTCTTATGGGGTTCTAAATATTTAAATAAACAACCAAACTTAATTATAATGTGCTCCCTAGATGCTTCCTGGGCCTTGATTCTCCAACTAGATCATAAATTCCATGAAGGCAGGGTTATATTTTATTTCATTACTTCCTATAGTGCCTAGGACTAGGCATGGTTCATGAGACACTAATTGCATATTAGCTGATTCATGTAATATATGTTTGTACATGTAACTGGCATCTCTGCTCACTGCGAGAGTACTTCATGAGCCAAGCCGCCTCCATCTGAAAATCGTTCCATCTTCAGGCTCAGGTCCACCCAGAGGAAATGAAGAGATTTGCCCAGAAATTCCTTTCTGGGAATATAATAAATGCTGACTTGTTGCCTTTTTCCCTACTTTTCCTACTAATATTCATTTGTAATTTATTTATTTATTTTTATCATTGTTAGCAGGCATAGCAAGAACTAAAGTTTTAAGAAAAAATTAGACAAAAACACAAAATTGAGAAAAATGTCTTGATATCAACTAAAAAATATCTATTGGGGCAGCTGGTTAGCTCAGGTGGTTAGACCGCAGGTTGTAACACCAAGATTGTCGATTCGATTCCCACATGGGCCAAGGAGCTACACCCTCCACAACTAGACTGAAGACAACTACTTGACTTGGAGCTGATGGGTCCTGGAAAAACACACTGTTTCCCAATAAAATTTCTTAAAAAAAAATTTATATACACACACACACACACACACACACACACACACACACACACACACACACACATACACATTAACTTTTTTTGGAAAAGTAGGTGTGAAGGACCTCAGTTATTGGGTAGCTGTGAAAAACTTCATATTCCAGCCCTTGAAACACCAGAAAATATGGCTTGTGACCAGATGGGTTAGCAAATTAGAATGTCATCCAGGCAGGCCGGGACCGCCTAGTCCATATGAGAGGAGGAAGGGCCATAAGATTTGGCAAAGATGTAAGAAGAGCCCAGGTCAGAGGCCCTGAGGTACCTAGTCTCTAAACAATAGAACAGCATTTCTTCCCACCCTCACCCCACCCTGACCCTTTTCTGTGGACTTTGATCTTGTCCTTTGTGGTTTACAAAACTGGGAATCAAACACTCAACCACTTTGGAAAATTTTGGTTTCACAGTGCCTCTCTAAAAAGGAGGGTGGGTAAAACTATGATGAAATTGAGTCCCTCAGAATGTAGCGAATTTTATTCTTTTTTTAGAGAGATTTATTCTAATAAGTTCATTTAAAAAACCAAAGATGGAATGATTCATTAGCTAGGCACTAGAGCAATATTAGGGAAACTGTAGTCATTCCACAGAGTGCATTTAGAGGGACCCAAGTGCTTGTTAACATGCATATTCCCACCCCTGTCCTGCGATAGGGAATCAGAATCCTGGCAGGGGCCCAGAGCTCTGCCGGGTTACCTGCTACCCAGGTTTCTCTGATGCCCACTAAAGTTTGAGAATTACTGCGTTAGACGATGCACAGCTACAAGAACAGATGTGCCCTATATGTCGTTATAAACAAAGAGTACAGACGTCTATTCTTAGCTGTTGGTGGGAAGGGGACGGAAGCTGTTTGAAAAGGCTAGCAGGTGGGGTTAAATCTAGCAACAGAGAAGCTTGTGGGCTTTCATTTTCTTTTATTTCTAAGGAAACTGTGAAAAAGAATATCCTCCTGGTCAGGAAATCCAGGTCAGGAGGAATGGCTGTCCATCTCTTCACACAGCCTTCCTCCCAGGCAGCACCATACAAGGCCTCCCAGTCTCTGGTGCCTGAACCACCAAATGGTCCTTCCTGCCTTCTTCCCAGCCCTGTAGCAGGGCTCTGTCCCATCATGATGGGCCTGTGGGTAGATACACTCTCTTCTTTCTTACCATTTTCTTCCATTTCATCCTACGATTCTGATACCAAGTCTTCACCTGCAGTTGAGTGAGTCCCAGAGACTGGGCCAAGTCCAACCTAGAAGGCACAAGACACAAAAGCAGGATGAAGACGAGGGGGAAGGGTGGTAGAGATGGGGTCTTGTTGACTGGTTCCCGGTACTGCTACCTGGATCTTCCCCATTTAACCAATTCTTTCCCCAAAGAGCTTTGCTTTCCTTTCAAAGATCCTATGGATGATAATCCGGGAAGCTAGAAACATGCCCAAACCCAAGAACGGTCTACGTTGGACCTGAAAAGAATTGCTGAGCCTTCATTGCAAAGTCTTTTTCCTGACCTGACACAGTCTTTAATTCTATACAAAATGAAGAGTCTGACCCAGAATTAAAATGAGAAGGAAAGGTAAAGTCATATCTTCCTCATGAGAATCCCATTCATCATTCATGGTCTAGCTAAAGTCCCACCTCAGGCGGGAGAACGCCCAGCTCACACAGGTTGTCTCTTCTATACCCTCTCATAGGTCAGCCACCACCGAAGTGGTCCAAATTCTCAACTGGTCTCTAATTGCTTCACTTTAGTTATTTCTGCCTCCCTAGCTCAACCCCAAGAGCAGAGTTTGTCTTCTGCTTCTTTTATAATCACATAACTGCCTATCAAATTTTAAATCTAGAGCTAGGGCGCAAAAATACTTTTCAATGAATTGACTCTTTCATTGTAGCTGCTCTAAGTTGTTATAATGCCAGATTCCAAAATAAACATTAAGTCCATAGATTCTCCTGCTTCCCATTCTACTGCTAACCATGGCTCTGCATTTCTTTGTAGCCTTCTGAAAAGTTCTGAATCTCAAGCCATTCCTGGGAAGTGTGCGGTTGGAGCAAATTCCAACGACACGGCAACCATTTGCTGAGTACCACAGCATCCAGGCTACGTGCTAATCCCCTGACATGTGCTATATAATTTATTCCTTTCACAATGCTGTGAAGTAGGTATAATTATTTCCATTTTACAGATACAAGATCTGTGGTTCAAGAGATTAGAACCGCTCGGCAACCATGGCCAAATCCTGTCAGTTACTTGTTTTTGTAAATAAAGTCTTGCTGGAACACAGACACACTCATTTGTTCACATATTATTGTCTATGAGTGCTTTCATGCTATAACGTCTGAGTTGAGTAATTGTGACAGAGACCATAGGGCCCACAAAGCCTAACATATTTACTCTCTGGCCCCATATAACAAAACTCTGCTGACCCCTGGTAGATGGTCCTAGAGTAAGAGGCAGGGCCAGAATTCAAATCTACTTTCGTCTAACTTGTACGTTTTGTCTAACTATACACTTTCTCTGGTATAGGGGCTCACCTCCACTTACCATATTTTTTGTGCAAGTTAGATCTGTCAAAGAAAAGCTCTTGCTCAGGCTTTCATGGAGAAAATTCAGGGATGTTACATCACAAGGAGCAGCAAACAACCCAAATGGAGCATATGAAATGAGAAAGGGAAGCAGGCTTCCAACCTCAGTTGAGACTGTAACTGTTGACCTATGTTGATAAGAACTCCAGGTCTACCTGAGCACCACCTGGAAGGACCACCTCCTGAACCAACATGGGCTGCCTCCCTGTGGTTCCAATCCTGGTCCCTGAAGCAGTGTGGACTTCTCAAGTAGCAACTTGGGCCAAGCCCCTTTGATACAGCTTGAGCAGTGACCACCACTTATGAAGGTCCCCAGGTATCTGAGGATTGCAATTTGTGGATGTAAGGTCTATTATCTCGCACAGGCCTGCACAGCCACAAGCCTGAGCCATGTGACTTCTCTGCTGCAACTCTCTATCTGAGGGGCAATGAGCAGCACCTCACTATCAGGAAGACCGGTGGGTACAGGCTCTGAAGGCTCCAGGTGCTGACTCTTGGCACTCCCAGTTGCAGCTGCCCCGCCCCCCTAAGAGGGCACGATTTAAATGTCCAGTAATAAAAACAGTCTTCCTTCAAGAGACTTCGGAACCTGCATTCACATATACTTGGTTGTCCCAGTAAAAAGCTGCTGGAAGCTGAGTTTTATTGAAAGCGATTAACAGACTGAAGGTAATAAATTCCCAGTGCCAATAGTACTCAGCTCTCCCCACTAACAAAGCACTGCTTCCTAAGCAGCCATTCATTAAGAACCAAGAACCCAGGGGGCAATCTCACAGACTTCTGGTCTCCCTGGAGACAGGTCCTCCCCAGACTCCCACTGTGCCTTCCAAGCCCAGTTCACCTGAGGCCATCAGGTGCGTTTGTCAATGGAAGGTTCAATTCACAGCTCTGCCACCGCTTAGTAAATGGTATTAGCTCACTTGGGAAAAATGCACCCTTGACTCACTCTGGCTACAGAAACACTCTTCACTGTCATCGGCTTTCTCTCATTACCTGCCACTGTTACAAATTCTCACTTCCCTGCATATTCGCTTAAAGGGGGTCACCTAGGAAACTGCAGAAACAAACAATGAGGAAGAGGGAGAGGGCTGTGGGAGGAGGGAGTGCTCATGGCCCTGGTCACGTACAGAGGTAAGGAACATCTGAGAGGGCAGGTTAAGGCGGCAACTTCGATGGCAGCCAAATGGTGTCTTCCTCCTCAGGCAAGTGAATCAATCCTGTGTAGGTCACCTGGGAGGTGCCTGGGCAGGTATCAGGAAGCCCCAGGAGGTTTATTAGGAACTAACATTTTTGTTAAAAAATCCTCTGACTTCTAGAAAATCAGCCTCAAATTTTACCCATGCACGTTGAAGCCCTTTCAACATACCACCACAAGATGCATAGATAATAGTGCCCACTCCGCCTGGATGCCCAAGTACATTATATGCGGGGGGCATCACAATAGTTATTTTGTACCTATCTGATACCTATTAATCCCCAATTCCCAGACCCGTCTCCACTGTCTGCCCAAAAGCAACCCCAATGCTCATGTCCAAAGCAGAACTTACACTCTTTCTCTATAAAACCCACTCTGTCCTCACCCTTCCTACTTCAGCTAGCGGTGTTCCTAGTTACCTGATGGCCCCACACAGGAACACAGAATTCTCAACTCTCATTTCTCTTCTTCATGACAACGTCAGTTCTGTCCCTTTCATCTTCAAAATTGCTCTCCAATCTATTCTCTCCTCTCTACTCCCACTGTCACACCACCTTCGTTCAGGTTTTCAGTGACTGTCCATGGACTGTCTGATGTCCTTGCTCCTGCCTCTTCCCTCTCTAATCAATCATGTATGGCGCCACCAATGTGAGGGCTGTAAAATGTAAATCTGGCCATGTCACTTCTAGCTCTTAATGGCTGCTGAAGGGGGGCCTGAGCAACAAAGTGCACACCGTTAGGCCAGGCAGATGAGGTTCTTCCCACTTCTACAGCCTCGTCTCCCACCATGCCCCTTTCACACCTTAACTGGAGATGTCCCGACCACTTGCCGTTCCCTCAACATGCCCAGTGAGCATGCTTCTGTGCCTTTGGATGGCATTCCCTCTGTGGAATGCCCTCTCCCTCCTGGAATCAAAGGTCTTCTGAAATGTTGCCTCCTCTGAGACACCTCCCCTAACCCCACTGACACACTCAGCAATCTGTGCTCCCACGCCCTGGGTCACCTTCGGCACCAGCACCCAGCTCACTGTGTTGTATTGCAGTCACTTCCTTCCCTGTGATTTCCTCAAGAGCAGGGTTCTTTCTATACTTTGTGGACCCATAATCCCTAATGCCAGACAGCTGATGTGTGCTTAATTAATTGAATCAGCTAACAAATTCTCTTTTAGTCAGTTATTTGCAGACTCCTCTCTCACTTAAATTTTTATCAAACAGTTACTAAACAGCTTAAGAGATGCATCTGAGTTTCCTTCCCTCTCTCTCTAACAGGACAGGGGTCAAACCTGATATGGACAAGGCAGTGAGTGAAAGAAGAGAAAAAGGACCCAGAAAACCTTCCCGATAAAAACAGGATCACAAGCTGAGATGACGTGAGCCAAGGAATAGATTCCTGCCATAGTGTCCTGCGTCTCTGTGAACAGTCCTTGTGCCTGCGCGTCCCATATCGAGAGCAAAAGGAATCTCCCCTTCTCAAGGGCCTTCACTGCAGACAGTCCCCTCCCCATGTCCTCACCTGTCTGGAGTGGACAAGTACTTCTGCTTCTGGAATTTCTTCTCCAGGCCCATGAGCTGAAGCTCAGTGAAGATGGTCCGACTGCGGCGGGGCTTCTTCTGTCGGGGCGTGGGCTGCTCCGCCTCCGACTCGCTGCTGCCAAGAGCTTCGCCACTTGGGGCCTCAGCAGAGGCAGCCTCAGCAGCTGGGTGGCGGGACAGTGCCTGGGCAATTCCTGGGGTGGCAGGGACCAGGTGGGAGATGACCGTGGGCTGTCGGGTGATCACGGAGAGAAGAGGATATGCACGGAGGGAAGTGGGGCCTGGAAGACAAACAGGAAGTCAGGTCACACACAGCAAGGGTGAAAGGAGGCCAGGGACCCTAGGGGACCACTAGCTGAGACCGTTTGACTGGTGGGGTCTCTAGATCATAAGGAGGTATACATGGAGGAAGAGGAAGAAGCAACTCAAAGCCTGTAGTGGCTGGGTGGGCAGGAAACTTGCTGATTTGCTCAGCCTGGTGTGTGAGACATTCGAGTCCCCCATGGCCAAGAGGAGGCCCATGCAATTCCTCTGGTTTCAAGTGACTCTTTCTCCTTTCTTTCTCTTTTAAACCCTTAAATTCTGGTTTCCAAGATACGGGTCAATAGAGCTGAGCACATGAGAAGAAGTAGTCAGGAAAGACTAGAAACATAAGAAAGCCAGAACAGATCTGTAATATACAAACTGCCTGAGAGCCACCTGTGGTCTTTATAAAAATACATACATGGTTGTAACTCTGAATGCCTCTTGAGAGGTCTATTTGACCTTGAATCACAACATTTTTCAGAGCTGGCAGCATGCTTCAAAGCAACTTAATTTAACTCCCTCATTTCAGACATAAGGAAACAGTCCCATAAATGCTGAGTGACTTGCCTAAGATCACAGAGCTTGGAAAAGCAGATTCAGGAGACAAAGAAAGTTTTTCGGGGTTGAAGTCCAGTGCTCTTATCACCACATCTTGTAGCACATGGATACATCATTGAGATGAGGGTGGCAAAAAGATTTTAATTCACATGAAAACTCAGACACATTAAGACTAGCTGCCTACAGCACTGTGTTAAGGAGGATTCCTATGCTGGGTCAGAGCTTGGCTGAGGAAACAGGGCTGAGGTTGATTAATGCTGTCTGCCATGGGCATGCGGGGGGACAGGCGTATGGTAGCAGACATACTATTGGGTTGTCAGAAAACTCATGATGCATTTTTGCAATGAAAAACATAGAAAAAATATGTCATGACTTTTCCGACAACCCAATAATTATGTACCACTCCTGCTTTAAGAATCTCAAGACAAGAGTACTTGTCTGTCAAAGAATCTGTTATGTCTTTAAAGTTCAAGTAAAAAAGGTCTTCCCTTTCATGATTCTACAGTATCAGGTTTAAAATGTCCTGACCATTACCTATATAAATCATTTTACTCTCTGGGCCTCAGTTTTGTCATTAGTATAGTGAGTAAATGTATTGGGCTGTCGGGAAAGTCATGACCCATTTTTGCAATGAAAGACATAGAAAAAATACGTCATGACTTTTCCGACAACCCAATAGATCATTTCAAAGAATCCTTCAAACTCAAACGTACTGATGCGACAAAAGTACCTCTCATCTCAAGCCAATTGTGGTATCTGATGGAAAATTGAGACGACTTGGGGCTGTCCTTTGGGACTCAAAACAGCCCTGATGACTTACTATAAGGGCAGGGCAATCACCAGAGCTGACAACACTCACACTGGTTCTGGGTTAAAACCAACCAACATTACAAAGCACCTGGTGCTACTTGTGTTCGCTCTCTCTCCTCTGGGTTGGCATTTCTCTTCTTATTCATCCTTATGCTTCTGTTTTGGACCCGGTCATAGTTATTAAAACAGATGACTTCTTTTGTTCTCTGACTATACTTCTAGTAAGGCTCAGCAGAAACCACAAAATTGTTAAATAATAAATCACCAAGGGCTACAACTTCCAGTAATTCTCCAGCCAACGTTAACACTTGAGGTTTTGTGTTGTGGATTCTTTTTAAGACAAAAAAAAAGCACC